TTTATGTTATATTGTACCGACAAATTCAAGTAGAAACATGCAAGTTGAGAGCAATATATACGATACAATTATTGACAATATCTTATACATTTAAAACATGTATGGTGATGAAAATTGTACATTTATGCTCTTGGGAGACATAAACTCGAGGGCTGGCCTCTTACCCGATTACGTGGTTGATGATTCTGATATTTTATTTAATTGTAATTTACTTCCAGATGATTATACAGCTGATGTATCTTTACCTCGCTTTTCACAGGATGAATATACCAATTCAAATGGGTATTTACTGCTTGACTTTTTAAAACAAACAGGGCTTAGAATAGCTAATGGGAGGGTAGGGAATCCTGAACAGTCGGGGTCTTATACTTTTGTAGGATATAATGGGTCAAGTGTAGTAGACTATTGTATTGTTGATATTCAAATGTTAACTGAATTTAAATCATTTATAATACATGAACCTAATTTATTATCTGACCATTGTTTGATTGAGTTTACCTTGAAGGGTAGTATGTATGCAATTAGTAATGTTATAAATATTCCCAACGAACCAGAGTTTAATGAACTCCGTAGTTGTTACAAATGGATAATGATTATAAAGATTTATATGTTGAAAAAATAAATAGTGAACAGTTTATTTCTGCAATAAATGACTTAAACCAATCTGTAGAAAATGCTCAATGTTGTAATGATATTGACAGTAATATTGAATGTTTTGTTAGTTGTATTGATCAAGTTTGTTCACCAATATTTAAGAAAACAGTTAAATGTAATGCTCATATTAAATCAAATAACAATTATTCAACACATTTCAATGATAGCTGTAGCAATAGTAGGAAAGATTTTTATCAAAAACTTAATAACTATAGGCGCAATAAAAATGACATAAATAGAAAGGAAATGATAGAAGCAAGAAGTATTTATAAGAATAATGTTAGGAATTTTAATTATGAAAAAGACAAACAAAACACTGATAAATTACTAAATGCCAAATATAAAAGTGCTAGACTTTATTGGCGAATGCTTAAGGAATCAGTTGCACCAAAGGCACCAAAAGGTATATCTTTAGAAACTTTCACGAATTATTTCAAAGCAATTAATAATCCTGATGACTCATTTTTTCAAGCTTCACGACGACGTTATATACTTTATTGAGAACGTTAAGCAAGAATTAAATGATATGTTTTCTGAGTTAGATGTACCTTTTTCTCGCTTAGATATTTTGAAGGGCATATCAGATCTGAATTTGAATAAGAGCGGAGGCCCGGACCGAATATTAAACGAATTTCTTATTCATGGAAAAAATGTTTTAGCTGGCTATTTTTTAAATCTTTTTAACAAACTATTATATCTTGGGTATTTTCCTAAAAAGTGGAGCGAAGGTCTCATTGTTCCTATACATAAAAAAAGGAAGTCTGTCGGAAGCTGAAAACTTTAGAGGTATTACACTTTTAAGCGTTATCGGAAAATTATTCACACGTTTAATAAATACTAGGCTTACAAATTGGGCAGAAAATTATTACGTCTACGTAGAATCTCAAGCGGGATTTAGAGCCAAAATGGGCACCGTTGATAATATTTTTGTTTTACATGGTTTGATTAATCATATTATTAATAATAATAAACAATTGTTTTGTGCATTCATAGATTTTTCAAAAGCATTCGACTATTTAGTAAGAGAAAACATTTGGTATAAACTTTATCAATAGGGACTTCGTGGTAGGCTTTATAATGTTATTAAATGTCTCTACAGCTGTGTCACATCTAGAGTAAGATTAAATAATAATGTAGGAGAAATATTCGAAAGTTATTTAGGAGTACGACAGGGCGAAAGTCTTTCCCCTTTTTTATTTTCAATGTATCTAAACGATCTTGAAGACGAGTTTTATTTAAAAGGGTCAAAAGGCATAGACATCGGTTACTTGAAGTTATTTTTGTTAATGTATGCTGATGACATTGTAATATTTGCTTCTTCAAAAGACGAATTACAGGATAATCTTAATATTTTGCATAAGTATTGTAATCGTTGGAAATTATGTCTTAATAAGGCTAAAACAAAAGTAATTGTTTTCAGGAAAGGGGGCCGCCTGCCACAAAATCTTAACTTTTATTATGATGGATATCCTTTAGAAATAGTTAACAAATTTTCATATCTAGGTGTTGTTTTTACGACTGGTGGTTCTTTTAGTGAGACTCATAAAACTTTATCCGGTCAAGCACAGAAAGCGATTTTTAGGTTAAGAAAGTATCTGTACAATTACACTAATATTACAATTGAACACACTTTACACACTTTAGAATTATTTGATGAATTAGTTAAACCGATTCTTTTGTACGGTTCGGAGGTATGGGGTTTCACTAAAGCTCCACAAATAGAAAGAATTCATACTCTATTTTGTAAATCTATTTTTTATGTTAAAACCTCTACTCAGAATGACTTTATCTATGGTGAACTTGGTAGAACGGATCTTTATTCGCAGCGTACTTTTAGAATAATTAAATATTGGTTAAAAGTTACAAGTAGTATCGAACGAAAATATATCAAATTGATTTACTTGCAAATGTTAAGTGATATAGATAAAAAAAACCCAGGGTAATAAACTGGGCATCTCAAGTCAGATACGTTTTAGGAAATTTAGGATTTTTCGAAGTTTGGCTAGCTGAGGGTGTTGGTAACCAAACATTGTTTTTATCTAAGCTAAAACAAAGACTTTCAGATGTTTTTATTCAAGATTGGACAAGTCGTATAAATTTATCATCAAGAGCAAGATTTTATAGAGTATTTGCAAAATTTGAATACAGCTTTTATCTAAAAAATGTTAATATAAGTAAATACTTGACAGCTTTAACCAGATTAAGACTGTCAGCTCATCATTTAAGTGGAGAAACTGGCAGATGGCGTAACATTTCCTTAAGCGACAGATTATGTAGCGCATGTCAAAAATTAGAAGACGAATTTCACCTATTGTTTGAATGTAAATTGTATAATTCTATTTGGAAGCGATATATCAACCAATATTACGTAATAAACCCAAATATGTATAAAACTGCAGAACTGTTTAACTCTCATTCAGTACAAATTGTAAGAAATTTAGCAATGTTTGTCTATAAAGCTTTCGAGATTAGAAAAGAATCTACATTGCAATCTTAGAGAGTAATAAATAGTTATATACTGTATGATTCTAAAGTTCCTTTCTAAACTTTCATATGTTCCTCTTTACATGTAAAAAACATTTTCCTATTTTCAAACTTTATTTGATACCTTTTAAATGTTAGATATGTTGTATCATGTTCGTTATTCTTTATTTTTCTTTCTTTTTTTTCTTGTTCTTTTCATAGTATTTTTATTAAACAATTTTTATTATAGCAGAAACTAAAGGTAAACAAATCTTGATTTTCGTTTACATTATAATTGACATGGTTATTTCCCCTGTATGCGTCATACTCGTCTTGTACTCAAGGCAATTTGTCAAATACTAAAATGCATATTTGTATGTGTGTCTAAATCTGACATATTCATTTCTGACATAAAAACATGTCATGCTTTAGAGTTTTAGGTGTAAAATAATGGTCTTGTAATTTCATTTTCGATACAAGGCATTATGTTACATATATGTTTATGTATACATTTGTAGGAGGTTAGTAATACCAAACATTATAAATATATTTATATATGAGCATATTATGATAAAACAAGTTAACATTTATAACCATTGATGTTTAGTAAAAAGAACACATACAGAACAAGGTAACAAACCAAATAATCAAAGAGATAAGTATGTAAGAAATTATAATTTATATGAATTAAAATGTAAACGACATCATATAGTTTTGATAATATACGAATGTAAAAATATGTTGAAAGTGAGTAATATTATTATATCATTGTATTGTAATGTATTGTGTAATGTATTGTATTGCTGAGAATGTTGTAATTTTATTTTGTGTCAGGTTAAGGGCTTATTAGCCTAAACCAGACTGTTATTGTCTACATGTGGATTTTGAAATAAAATTCTTCTTCTTCTTCTTCTATACTTCATCTTTTTCTTTTCTCATAAAATTCTTTGATATCACTCTCATTTTTTCGCATTTTTCATCTTTAAACTGCCAAATCGATCTTGATCATTTTTCATACCTACGCCTTTTTCATCATATTTGTTGCTTTTGAACATATGAAATTTTTCAACGTTCGTCACCCTTTCATCAATATTTTTCACTTTAATTTCCAAATCAGTGAATTTAATACTAATGGAGTTTACTTTGTTTTCGACATTATCAATTTTATCTACATATACTTAAAGCAGGTTATTCATGCTTTTGATGTTGATCATAGAGGTTGCCCAGGGTGGAATGGGTATTTTTTCTTTTGGTACCGACTTTAAAATTGTGTCGATGGTGGTGATGAATAAGGCGACTGCATAGCCTGCATGAAAATGCCAGGGCCCGAGGCCTGCTCAAATTGTTTGCAGGCTGATAATGAACTGTGTGCGAACTGTCAATTGTAAAGTTCTCAGGCGAAGATGGCTTTGACCCTTTTACTAAGTTGTTTATCTGCTAAACGGTTGTATAGATATCTCATGAGTGAATACTCCAATGCAACAGTGTTGTTATTCATTATGTATCTTCAATCAGTAAAAAATCTGACTCTGAGTCCTGGTCATATATCTGATATAAAAAATTCAAACATTTTTGAAATATTCTTTAAAAAAAAAAATAAGTGCTATTTGTTACAGAATTTTCTGGTTTTAAAGCATCTGCCTACATTAATGATGTTCTATCCCTTTCTTGACTCATGCTAAAGAGAAACATTATCATCATCTCTAGATCATCTATATATATATATATTTCATTACATGTATTCTTTTTTATATAAATCTCATCCTTATGATTTTTATTTCTTATTTTACTCAACGATAAATATTGAAAAATATATAAAGAAATATAACTTAATTTCAGTTAAAAATGTTATCATTCTCCAATTTTTCTAATTCTATAGATATTTCATCACATGTGCATTGGGGAAGGAAGTGAACAAAATGGGAGTTTTGACAAATGGTAAGTTGATAAACAATATAAGGTTCTTACACCGACTGCCGGTACAGACCAGAAAATCTAGCTTGAGGGCCACTGATTACGGTGGTAACGAGGCTTTAACTCGGCAAACTAGAGCGTACAAAACTGTTTTTCAGCTCAAACGCAGATATCTGAACTGGAACAAAATGAACACAAATCAATAAAAATCATGAGATTCGAGACAGATCTCAGTAAAATGTTTAATTACTTATTTTAAGGATATAAGTTGCTGTTTGGTAAATAAGGAACTTTAAAATATTTATTTTGAAAGCAACCTGCAAAATATCTGTTGTTCCCTGAGGTGTTACCGCACAGTTGTGTTCGAAATAGTGAATAAATATGCTTCTCAAAAGGCGAAATTTGAATATGTTAAAATAATGATGGATTCGTAAACTGGATGACATAAAAAACCTAATGAAGAGTAATATACAAAATCCAGTTTTTTGATTGGCAAATGTGTGATTGGTGTACATTAGGCATACATTGGCATCATAGCCAGAAAGGGCCTCTGTCTGGATGACGACAAAATGATGACACAGTTTGCCATTCTAAGTAATCATGTACATTGTATTATGTTTAGTTATATCGATTTTTCGAAAATAACCTAGACGGAAGTTATAAATTTTTTTATGCGAACGTACATATAATACATAGACATTATGCTGATAATTAGGAATAATAATTTACGTTTCATTATCTAACTATTGTCTTTGATTAAATGTATTGGAGTTTGACTTTATTTTTAACTTATCTGCACACATTATTCTCATGTTATCTTTAATGATCTACGGCAATTCATCGTAAATCCACGATGTGACTATCTACATGATATCAATCATATGTTTTATTTGAAGCCAACTTGCAACGAACTTGTAACACCGGTACACACATAATACTTCTAGAAGTAGTCCATCAATTCCTGTTTGATATTCAGAAGTTTGGATTAAATATTAACAGATTTGTGGATATTCTTTGGATATTTGTATAATGTATATGACCAGTTCCTAGCTGTATACATGTATGTTTAGGTTTTTTAGAGAGACGGATAAATGTGACATAAAAAAGTTTTTTGAAGGGATTCCTTTGAAAGTGTCCCGTACTCATGTCAATCTGTAGCAATTTTGCTGTTTTGTTTTAACTAGACAAACTAATTTGCGTCATCGGGAAAGGCCCATGATTAAACAATAGGTACACACACGTAGTGCTTCTATGTCAGTTTTTTTAACCTGAAGATTATAAACGTGTAGATCATTTTGTGTAACATCGGTTCTTAGTTGATGTTGATTTGTTGAAAAACATTACATTTGTATCTTTATTTTAATTTAAGATAATAGCATACATGTTCCTATGGATATCTAGCGTTTTCAGATAATCATACAATTATCTAAAACTACAATTGTATTTCCTTTGCAGTAGATTTTAGTAGTTAGAGAAGACAACATTAAGGTTAAAGTGAAAAAGAAAAAAAGTGATAACGACCCTTGTGACACCAATAGCTTGTCCTAGGGAAAGATCACATATTTCGTTTGTCTCTTCTCTCAAGCAGAAAGAAAGAGAAACAGTGACTATTTTTAGATACACCCATGACGTCTGCATTACCCATTTAACGTCATCTTCATAGTAATCAAAGGAAAAAACTTTCAAAGAACACCACTGTTAGTAGGAAACCTGAATTTTAAAATGGAAATTCATGTCAAACAAATCTTATAAAAAATTCAGTTTTAAATTCTTACTTTTTTGACAAACAATATACCATACATAATATAAATAAATATTTTCATGTACGCATTTATTTATTAAAGTGGTATGTCTGGTCAAATGAATCTTCATTGAGATATTCTGATGAATCAAAGGGGTTCTTTTGTACAGGGATGCAACTTCTTGGCAGTCAATGTCTTCGTTTAATGCAAGGAAATTGTTACCAAGTACCGCAGGGTTTCTTTTAAATGCTTAAAGACCTAATAAGCATTAGTTAATGACATTAAAATTATTCATATTGTATATCAACCAACTTAAGAAGATATTCTTTAGCAAGATGAAACACACAGTTCTGAGTTGAGAACTATTTTATTATTACCAGACATAATGATACAAGACTCTTTGAAACACTTCTGAAAACAAACTTATATTACATAAGTGACCTATTTCCTTAAGGTAGTACACCTCTAATGGGCACTATAAGGAATTGTAAATTTGACAACATAGGACAGTTATATGCCTTAAATGTCACCTGTATGCAAAATTTAAACAAAATTTACCGTGTGGTTTATGAGTTATGGACATTTTTATGAACTAAAACTTTGCCATTAGAAGGGATTTTTTCAGAAATGAGGAAACTCTAAATAATCTATAATATCATTATTATGAAAAATGTTTTCCTTTTGCTCATTGTTAAGAAATAAACAATGACATATAGGTAACAAATTAAACAAGCAAAATGATTGTTTTTAAATGAAATGTTTTAATATGTATAAAAATGTAACTCTACCCCACCAACTTTTAACACTAATTTGACCATTTCCCTATGTAAAAGCCTTATTTAAAATATCCCTAAAATTGTCCAAAATGAGGGGCTATTTTCAAAGTTTGCCTAAATTTTCTTTAATGTATATTGGTTGGTCTTGCAAAATATAAAATACTTTTACCGTTTAGTTTTTATTTTATTAAACTTTGAAAATATCTGGTATCATATTTGCTATTAAATTGGCATTATTTAGTAAATAAATACCTACAATAATTATAAAATTAAAATAAAACACTTTTTTTCTTCCATAGGGGGTCTGAGAGATTAAAAAAATGTTAAAAAGAAAAAAAAGAGTGAAAAAAAAATTGCCCCTTCTGGGGTTTGAACCCACACCCCCTCAGTTTCAATACACTTTACAGTGATTTTAGCCTATTTGAATACTCTTCAAAGTGGAGACAGTGCATTAGGGGTGTACTACCTTAAGTCTAAACTCACTAAACATGCGAAAAAATGACACTGGTCAATTGTTTTGTCTTACGGAAAGTTAGCCCCGTTTAGTACTTTACTTTTGTCCTTACCAGTAATTATACCTTGGTGACCATATCCGCCCCAAAATGAAGACATTGACTACCAAAACGGTTTGTCATTTCCCCGTCTGAAATAACTTATTCACTGCATCATCATATCGCATTTAATACAATCTTAAACAAGCATGCAACTTCAAAGTCTTCAAATATTTTTTATGATATATTTTCCGTTTAACAGCTTAAATTTTATAAGATTTCTTTCACATCATCTGTTGTTTTATTGTTTCTTTTTTCAAATTCAAGTTTTCTCTAACTTACCTTTGTCGTTCATTGAAACACTGCTCATTATTTTTAATTATTAATACACTTAACGGATTTTATAACCCCACACTTATATTTTGGCTAATATCTCTTTAAAACCATTAAATTCTACAATGAATCTTTACAGAATTTTAATTTATCATTTCATTCCATTAAAACATTCAAATAATAACGATCAAGTTAAATATCGATGAACCACACGTTATTTAACAGCAGTACCCGTAAAATCAAATGTCACATTTTTATAACCTTAATATCTGTTGTGTCTGCATTGAGCTCTGATAACTGCAGTACATATATAGTACATATACAGTATATAACTAGAGATATAACCCTGTGGAATGACCATATCCTAATAAGAGCATTTTCTAGCACCCGTAGAGTTCTTGGCTGCTGGCAAAGCTTCCTTACCCTCGACAAATTTGTAAATATTGTTTGAATGTTCTCAGAAAATACAACCATTAGACGACACCATATGCACTTTTAGAAAATATCGGAAATACCGCGGTCGGTAGGATTTATAGCATAATAAAAATCGGCTTGAAAATAATCACTGAAAACTTTACTTTAGCCGAGCTATTTTGGCCATGTACGTTGAATTTTATTGTCATGTGCCGAAGTTGCTTACCCACGGTGCTTTTTAAATCTTTATAAAAAAGTGATTGTTACTTGTTTCCCTGTCTATTAGATGCATGTTCACAATGTTCATTTTTACGAGTGCTCTTTTTTAGTAATTGATTATCTTTACTGCGGCATTGGTTTAAACCTTTCATTCTGTCTGACCAGATAATATTGCTTTTTATTTCTTTATTAAAACAATATCTACACAAGTATATGCAATTTTTTACATACATACATTTTTTAAACGGAGTGGTACCTTATAACTTAAAACAATAATGTTTTTTAGAATGTTTTATAAATCGCCCTTATTTTTTGCATAAATGTTCGAAATCGAATTTAAATAATTGTTATTGGACGCCAAAATGATAACAGACTAATAGATGCTTGCTTCTTTTAACCAAATATTCAAATCTGATTTTTTGCGGATTATTGAAAATTGGTTCTTTATAACCACTTCCACAGAGTTACATTCTATATTACGTTAACTTACTGCGAAAATCGACCAGCTTCAAGGGTCAATGAATCTCGCGCAAGGGATTGTGGGTCTGGATCTCTCTTTCTGTATCATAAATTTCTGTCACTTCTAAAGTTAGATAAAGACGAACTATTTTTCCACGGAAGAAAGCCTTTTTATTATTCATTATCAATTGTTGGTAAACTTTAGTCTCAGTTTTTTTTCATATTAGATGATTTACTTTTGACATACGTATCTTGTTGTTGTGTGTAATCATTATAAAGTTGACATTTGAAACATTTTCTATTCAGCATATAATATCCTAATTTTAATCTTTTTCACAAAAATGTAAAATACATTAAGATTTGCTTTTCAGTTATTTGGGGATTTGTTGTTGTGTTTGTTTGCCTATCGATAGCCAAATTCGGCGTAGGTAAGTTAATTAGCATTACTTAGATGAAATTACACTTTAATATTATACGAACTAATGAAAATCTTCCTGAAAATAGAACCGTTGATAACTACACAATTTCCTTGAGAATTGTAGGACATTTGTCCCCCGAACAGTTGCCACCATGGACGATTGCCCGCTTTTGTGTACGCGGATATTTCCCACTCATATGTTTTGAAAAGGCGGACATTTGCTCCCCTAAAGTATTTGAAAGGCGGACATTTTCCCCCTGTATTAAAAAATTTCGAAGGAGGATTGAGTGAATAATGAATCAATGAATCACCGAACTCAACCATTCTGTCATAAACATACTAAATTGATTGAACTTTTTATTCGTTTACGATATGAATGCGCCAATGTACCAAGGACAATTATTATTATTGACCAGTTTATATACAATCATCACAATTTTGTAGATGCTTTTATTGTTTTTATCATAAATAAACTAGAAATAAAATGTATAAGTTGTTTTCAAATAAAGAAAGAAAAAAAAAACGATAGACAAATGAAAGGTAATGGAATATGAAATTAAACATTATCGCGACAATATGTTTCAGGTTTACACTACATCAATAAATGCCCAGCAGATAACAAGATTCCAGAGTTCATGGTGGAAAATAGTTGTGTCGTAACGGTCATCGATATTCTTGTTGGACTTACAAAACTAAATGAAGTGAAAGGTTTCCTCAACACTATACAGGATGATCATCGCATAACTGTCATTGTTGCTGACCATTTAATTAGCATGATTATCGGTTTGTTAACATAAAAAATGTATTTCTATTATATAATCTAATCATATGATGTTGTGGTACATGCCAGATATCACGGTCGCGTGCATTGTAATTGATCTCATTTGATTGAATATCTAAACAATGAACAGTAAAAAATTATAAACCTTACGATGCATTTATGCACCTATCAATATTAGGGGGATTTGACATCTTGAAATGTTTGAAGTCTAAATCCCCACCCTAGAGACAACCAATTTTGTCTAAATCCCCACCCTTGAGCCTGCTTGGTGCATCAAATGCCCCGGGGGTAGGGGAGAGGGTAAATATTTAATAGATCAATCAATAAATAAAACTGTTATCAGAAAAACAATGAAAAATTTAAGTTCAAAGGCTTATCATTAGGAAAATAATGAATCCATATTAATGGGCCTCGGAAGTAAGGTAGGTATAGTCACTCCCAATGAGTATATATGTATCAATAACTTTGATAGTATTCAAATAATTAGACTTTGAAGATACTTATATTTTTATATAAAAATGGGTATTTTAAAGTAATAAAGGGGCATAATTCTGAAAATAATGCATCAAGGTTATAGACCTTCTTAGTATGGTAGTGGTAGTCCCACTTAATACCGTACCTAGTTTCAATTAAATATCTTTCATAGAATAGAATGTATGACTAAAAAAACTTAAACCAATGCGGACACGGACACACAATCGATCGTATAAGCTCTTTAATATTTTACATTTATAGTTTAGCTTCAAAATAAACCTACTAAACTAGTTTCTGACTCCACATGACCCAGTTTCTGTAGGGATGGTAAGCATGCTGACCAAGCTTAATTATAATTGAAGCATATCTGTGGCCTCTTAGAGTGTTAAAACACTAAAAGTTGAGGACATCAGATTTAAGAAGACAGACATTCACCGGTCATGATCACAATAGCTTCGTGCCCACAGCTCAGATGAGCTAAAAACTTACAACACTTTAACTTCTTATTTTATTTTAACATTTAACACAAAAAAGTCATTAAAAAAGACATTCTTCCTCCTCCTGCAGCCAAACCTGGACGCTTCCACATTGTTTTCTGAAAAAGAGGGCATTTTTATAATCTTTAAGGTTTCAAATTTATTAAGTTTCATTTTAATTAGACCAAAAATGTTCTAAGATTTGACCTAGTGACTTAATTTTTGACCCCTCATGACTTAATTTTGAACATGTTCTAGATTTCATAGATTTGAACATTTACACTAACTTTAATGAAAAATGGGCCTTTAAAGTGTTTGCATTCTTTTCCTAAGATTTGACCTAGTGACATAGTCTTTGACCCCACATGACCCAACCTTGAACTTTGCCGAGATTTCAGCCACACATTTTGACCAAGTTTCATGTAGAAACGACAATTATAGCTCAACACAAAGCTACAAAAAGAACTGACATAATTTTCTTAAGCTAAGTTGCATGGTGTATTCACAATCTGGTGCACTTTCCTCAAGAGCCTGGATAGGAGCAGGAGCCTGGATGGGAGCTTGAGTCGGGATATATAGGAGCTTGAACCTTGATAGAAGCTTGGGCCTGGATAGAAGCTTGAACCTGGATTGTTTAAAAATTAATAATTTAGTAGCACAACAAAGATTTCCAACATATATTTTTGATAGATAAAACAGTAGGTTGTTTTTAATTCTATTGGAACAAAAATGGTACTGATTTTTTGTTTTTGAAAAGACATTATTTTCTAACAATTCTGCTGGTACTAAGTCTATCAAACTAATCTTGCAATTATGGTGGGGAATCACGTGATATGGAGACCACATGACATGGTATTGCAGCAATTGATAATCTTTCAGATTCTGGTGTCAATGTGAAAATTTTTGTCAATATCTTTGTTTAACAGAAAATATTTTGGAGTATGCGTAACTGACAGGACTTGCAATAGCCCCCAGCGACATTATAAACAATATTGTGCTTTTTCAGGAGAATTTTAAGTTTAAAGGAACATAATGCTTTTGTGAGTAAAATTTCAATTACTGAATAAACATATCATACTTATCCTTTTATTGAAGAAAATGGCTCATTTCCGCATTACTATTCTTCAGAAATTATTTTTTCATCCAAACATACCTCCAATTATTACATTTGCGCTACATGAGCGCAATATATTTATAGCTTATTTTGAAGATTTTCTTTCATGTCTTTAAGAAATCAAATGCAAATTTTTACATCAGAATTCTACTTGATGTCATTGGTGTGAAACTTAATACTCTTTTATTTCAAATAAAGTTTACAAATGCATAATGGGACTTTAAGATACCATGTTACGTCACAGGTCACCATATCAATGATTCCCCACCATGTCAATGATAAAATACACATATTTAGACCACAGAAGTGCAATACCACTTATATGTTTTTGTATGGCTTTCAGAAAATAGAGTTTTTTTGGCCTCAGACTCATTTAATGTTGAGGCAATCATTTATGAAATTCAACTCATAATGTCATTGTGCCTGAATACCTTTTTCAAAGACCTTTGCCTTGCCCCTTTTTCTGTTGGCAGAAACACTCGTCAAATGGTCCAACCAAATGTTCACCTGTTTAAATATAAATCAACATTTTAATACATTCACATTTATCAGATAAGAAAAAAGCCTTCACATAGTTTCTGCGGATTCAATTTACTTTTTATTAGAGCAAGTCACGACCGTAAAGCAATACATGACCAATGAAGATGAAACCGATAGCCAAGATTCAAAGCCTCGTTATGACAAGCAGTTGAAACAGTAATTATAAATGATAAAAAACAATGATGGTAATACATCTGAAAAAAGGATATTATTTTTTTTTAGATCTGTTTTGACATACATTGTATTTAAATGCATTTTCTTACTTTATTAAAAATCATATTCTAACAGAGACATAGATAACAGAGATAGGCTTCTTCCTAGCCAGTTAAAATATCACGATTGCCTGCTAAACTTAAACCTTGTAGCAAGTAAAACTTATTAACCAGATATCAAAATCAGTAAAATAATACATTTTCTGAAAACTTATGCATTTGTCTATTGCTGCAGTCTGCAGGTAAAAATATTTACAGTTCCAATTAAAATAAATGTTACATCATTTTTTAAAGAGAACTTCTTGATATTTTTTGTTACAAAACTATTCATGTGACAAAAAAAAATGGCTCAGTGGGTATGTTCTGCCATGTTTTTCTAAGGGAAAGGCATGGAAGGTTACCAATATTTTAACATGCAGTTATAGATGAAAGATTTACCTTTCAAAGAAAGGGTATATAATATTTAAGGATCAAATGTACATCCATTAAGTTTTATTTGCTACAAAATGCCTAATTTTTCACTTTTTGATAGGCATGAGTGATATTTCAATGGAGTATATAAGAGCTGCTTATCTCTATGTCTCTGATTCTAACAAGGCTCACGGGAACTACTGACTTGGAGTCCCGTGACTTCAGCCTTTGGATTTTGACTCCCTTGCATGGATGTGCAAGCTGATCTGGATCTACACTGGTAGCATAGGTGTTAAAATAATTATAAAATGAATAATTAATAACATAATTCTGTGTGTATGTATTCAACATCCGTTTTGTGTCACTTGATCAGTTCATTCATACTGCAGTTAAAGGGATTATCTCAATCGATACGACATTTTCTGCTGTAATCGTTTATATTCTACAGGCAAAGTGAACGTTCTTTTGTGGATTTTGTATTTTTAATACGAGATATGTGTCAGTTTCATGTGATTTCCAACGCCTTTCAGACTCGCAAAATAAATGGGTCTATTCGCGAAAATAGATGACAAACATGAAAACCGCTAGGCTCCACGTAGTGTCTGGGTAGAAAACAAATGAAGAATACAATCCCTGTATACCTTTGCAAATAAATCCAAATTCTGGGGCAACCTTCTCTCCCACAATTTTCTCTACCGTAGAAAAAATCGAAAAGTTTCATGTCTGCAACTTCAAAAACACGAATAAAAATATCGCCGTCGTCTTTTGACCCTTTCGCAGTTACTCCCCTTTTTTATTTTGTGGCGTCGAAATTCCCGAGTCCCGGGATGTAAAAACCGGCCAAAGTCTATTACCCGGGACCCGGATTCCATAAGTTTGTCAAATTCCCGCCTGTCAGGAATGGTCTTCTGTCTAAAGCCCCGTGTATGCCCGCCGCCCCCCCGGTAGGGCAAAATATTGACAGGTGCATTATCAGGGAAAAAAACGAAACCGGATCCCATAAGAATGCCCAAAACGGCTAAATTGAAATTGCTGTAAACTCGTGGACGGTAGCTGTAATTTAAACATTAGCAACTGGTTTAAGCAGAATGTTAGAAATTAACATCCTCAAAAATATGATTTCTTTAATCATATCATACTGTGTTAGATATTCCAAATTGTGTTAGATATTCCCCATATCTTCCACTCTTTTTTCTGAAGAATGTAAAGCAAAATCCTATATAGAAATGCAAGAGAATAAGTTTAAATTCGAGACTACTAAAAGTCTAGCCTGTATTTTCATCGATGAAATGGTTTTAACATATTTGTTATTTTCTGGTGAATTATAAAATACATAGAGAAAAGAGCAAACTGTCTTATGACATAACATTGAGATTATATAATACGGATATGACTTTTTTAATCCATTATTTTTATTAAATTTTCTTTAATTTTATTTCAGCAACAGTATATGTAGGTAAGCCGTACCCTTACTTAAATGGAGTCTGTGATGGTGCCGATGTATGTTGTAACCAGAATTTAATACGGTTCGCTCTAGGTGTTGTAATAACAGAATGGATACTATGTTTTTTGGTGTGCCTGTTTTTATGTTGATTGCACATTTCATTTGGGATAGATAATCTATTTCTTCGTTACGGAGGAGCACCATTCATTTCTTAAACTCGGTTAAAGAAACAGTTATATTCAAGTATTTCGAACAATGAATTATAATGAAAATGATGTTTTCTTATTTCATATAAATATTTTGGTTTTATTTCATATAAATATTTTGGTTATTTGATGTTTTCTGCATAGATTTCAGATTTCAAAATAATGTTGTTTGGAGCAAATATTCTGTGTTTGTATTTTATGTTTATCTATTTTATGACATGAGCATTTGTGCGGTAAAAGCAACATATTCTATAATGAAAATAAAATTGACCTTGATTCGAAAGAAAGTACGATGCTGAATTTGTATTCATCAAGTCAATTTGTATATAAATTACTGTCAGAAATTAGAAAAGTCAAACTAGCGTTGGGTTAAACACGGCTTTAGTTACAGCCGTGAGATAAATTAGAAGAAATGAACAGTGGAATTATATTGTACTTTCAAACATCCAATATGACGGAAAAATCCAAGATGGCCGCTATAATAGTTTATGATTTCAAAAAACGCTTGCTTATTCTAGAATGACTAAATAAATGACTATTCACTAAGAAAAAAAAAGTTGTTATATGTATCAGTAAATAGCGTTGTTTCCTTAAAATTATTATAATCTAAATATTTCATTATGTCTGTTTGTCATAAGTTTACGCGACTCTGAGTTTCGGATGAAATGAAATACAAATGTATATAGTGTTTTGACATCGTTTCTTCTATACAGTAAAGTATATTCGTCACTTGTGCATCTTTTTTGACGTTTAAATAACAAAACACGAATGAACATAAAATGACGTCTGTATAACGTATTGTAATTCCTACGGATTACACTAGTGAATTCACAAGAAAGTATATAAACAAACTGAACATTATCATATTTAGTCAAAATTAAAGAGATGTTATGTTGTTTAACTTTAAAAGCAAGTAACAAAGTAACTTCTTTGCCTTTTCAATGTATCAATATTTGATTAATGCCTTCACCTGTCTCTGAAATGGCATCAGTCACATTAGCTGCGTATAAAATATTGTGTTGGCTGTGATTCATAAATGTTGGTTCTTTAAACTTCTGTTTTAACTTATATCTGACAGTTACTTTGACAGGTTATAGATAACTAAAAAGAATAAAACTTTGAAAGTCATATTTAAGGTAGCCTGTTAACTTCATAAAAAATTCTCAATTTTCTCAAGCTGACTTTTCCCCACTTTAAACTACGCGTGTTTTCCCAAAATAGATGAAAATTGTCCTGATATACAAACAACAACCCATAGGGCACTTCATGATTATGCCAGCCCGTATAGCTCAATCGGTTATAGCACGAGAATTGTAATCTCGGTATTGTGGGTTCGATTCCCTACTGGCCAACTAAAATTATTAATCGTTCTAATTTAGGATGAGACTTAAATCGAGGTCCCGTGTATGAGTGCTTAAATACTTGGCACGCTCAAGTACCAGAGGAAGCTTCTGGAATTGGAGCAACTGTCTTTATGTGTATCTTGCACTATCCTAAAAATCTAAAATGACTAATACTCGTCTGGAGGACTCACCCATATGGACAACCGGTGGCAAGTATAAATAAATTCAAATACACAAACACTCCCTTTTTGTGTATTGTCCACATAGGGGCACTGATACATTGAAGATAAAGACTGATAAAATATATTTTCGACGCTTATGTAACATAATATAGATTTATATAGCATATCTACAGATTTGCTGCTCTATTGGAAGTATTTTATAATGACACCCATGAAAATATAAAATGAAAACATTTACATTTTTGGATGAATTTGCATTGATTTGGCTTAAAATTTTATGTATATTTATTTTATAGTTTTGGTTACAAATGTTCATGAAACTTGAAAATTCGATTATACAATGACTTAAAATATCGCTGAATGGGACTTATATCGCCATCAATGTCCTTAATAGAAGTTGGTTAGGATAGGTTAAAATGATGTTAACGATTTCTATTATTAGTTATGCTGCTTTTTTTAAAAAAACAACTGTTGATTTTTCATTTATTACGTAACCTTTAATATTAATATTGGTTTCAATGATTGATGTTATTTGTTTTTCAATTTTTCAAATAAAGATATAAACGACGAGATTATTGAGTGGTGCGCACGAGATTATGTTGTCGCCAATAGATACGTAATCGTGCGCACGATATAATTAGAATTACTATGTGGTGCTAACGAGATAATTACGTCGTGCGCTCAAAATAATTAAACAGTCAGATTACACACTATATATATATATTTTAGAAAATTCTTGGTAAAGTTTTACATACAACAGTAATCTTTGAAACTACTGGATGTATTCAACTCGATGCGTGTCTATTAGGAGGTCACTATCGAAGGCTCATAAATCAGAAATTAATTTTGACCAAGTAATGACCGTTTGTGCGGACCATCCCGTGAAAAGATTGATTAGTATGTACGTACTAGTAAATGGCTTGTTAACCTTGTTCATACGATATCCTGAGAAGGAGTAAGCCCTGATTTACTTTATTTGGTAGGGACAATGCCCAATGCCAGTTGATGACCTATATTGATGTCTGAGGGTCAAGGTAATCATGGCACTTCACTAATGAATAATTTGAGAAGGATTAAGCCATCGTTTATATCATCTAGTATGGACATTGCGCAGTCTAGTAGATGACATATAATAATGTTGAGGTCATTGGATCTGAAAGGTCACAATGACACTAAATGAAATATCATTGTCAATCAATAACTTTTATATATGACACTGTGACGGCTGGCGAAGTAGGGCATCATTGTCTTATGACACATTTCTATTTTACTGAGAAAATTCATATAAAATGTATTCATATAGTGTTATCGGTTTATTATCTCGTACAAACGACTTGATAATATCGTTCGAACCACAGAGTAACACGTGCGCACGACTAAATTATCTCGTGCGCACTACGGAGTAATTCATGGTCACGACTTTGCACCTCCTGCACATGAGATAAATAAACACACGTACGCACGCACGCACACACACACGCACGCACGCACCATCACACACGCACGCACGCATCCACGTCACGCACGTCACCTCTGTGCCACCATAGTCCTTACATAAATCTCCTTTTAGATAAAAATTAAATTCTACATACTGTCGATAACAACGTGTGAATCCACCATTGGGTTTCATATCAGCCACTGACTTTCAAGGTAACCATTAATTTTGTATAGCAACTATTGACTTCTTAAGTAACTCTTGGTTTCCCCTAGCAATAGCAACCAGAAATGTTTTTGCATACGCTCTATATCGACATTGACTATCCTTCATATAATGTATTCGCGATTAATTTAACACGTTTAACCTTGTCCTACTACTGATAAACAGTATCGAAATACAGATACAGCCTTTTATACTCGTGTAAGTTTCAAACAATAATATCTACATAATCATATGATTATCTACCTGAGATTGCTACGTCGTTCCACATACAATAGTATAAAAATACATGTACATGTAGTATAAATTGAATGATTAGATATCAATTCTACATGTACATAGCACTTTTGTAGGTCATTTCTGCTTTATCTTGATAAACTCGCACACGTTACAGTCATTTTATGAGCGCTTTAAAGGTCTCCTAATTTTAAATATGCCAGTGATGTTGAAAAACATTTTAATACTGTGCACAAAACGTTTTGTTCAAACGAAACTAAATGTAACAGGTAACGGTAATGGTGTATGTAACAGTGAACATATAGTGATTGGAATTCTCTTATTTTTGGTTCTTATTCTTGGAGTTCTGGTGTCTATAATTGGATATATTCTTATGCAGGAAAACAACAACACCTTGCCACTTCTGTCAGATATGACTATGAATACATTATCTGTCTATTGTGAAGATCTTTCATTAAGTCCAGATGACGATTTCGACACTTTTGAAGCGAAGAAAGGTGGAATGAAAGTTTCCCTTGACAACAGACAAAATTATATTTGTAGTGAAAGAAATTTAACTTTTTTTGTACAAAAGGTCAGTAGACTTTGATCAGTAAATATTCAACAGTTTATTCGCCAGGCAGAACTCTTTTGAGTTTATACGAAATGTGTTTCTGCTAAACAATATCTTGCAATGTCAACACCCCTTTCTTTATAGGGTTTTAAAACCGAAAATAATGCCAGTATTATTGCAGAAATATTTGGCTAGAAAGTAATTTATTTCCACAAAAACACCTGTGCAAAAATATTTATACCATATTATGAAGAATACATGTCGCATATTATGTGTTATGTGTTATGATTTGAGACGTGCTTCTGTGTTCATTTAAAACGTTAGACACATGTAATTGTTAATTATGGTCAAATACTGGCCGTATTTGGTTTTCAGTGTTACAGATGACTTTCATTTTGTAGCATAAAGATAATATTCAATGAACAATTAAGAGCTCGTACATTTTATTGGCCATTAACATAATTTCCACATATTTTTTAAACGAGAATACCGGCCGAAGTACCTAAACATTTTATAAACGTCACCAATCAAAAACGTACTTAAATAACGCAATAATTTGATTTGTTTTGTTTGAAAACGAAATCGTCTTTTGAACTAAAAGAGATTATATCGTTTCCTCATATACCACAAACTTAGTTAGTTAATTGTCTTTTATAGATATGCATATTATTATGAGTTATCTAATTATCTCACATAGATTGTTGAAAGGCAGCTGAGACTTCGGCAGTCAAAAGGTACGTAAAATATTCAAGGTTCCATGCAGCAAATATAGTTTACACAAGTTGCTAACTGGATACAGTATGTCAATGCAATCTATTTTACTATGCTGTCCAGAGACGTTCAACGCTTCATAACATTTCTTAATGTCCATTTTTATTTAAAAGTCACAGGGTAACGCCTGATTAGAATCTTGGATTAGCGTTTTGAAGCTCAAATGACTGGGCTAAAATTTTATTCCTTGTGAGTGAATAGTTGTATACCGTGTTATACGAGGGGTGATCCAAAAATTTGTGGACACCCTGCATAAAACAGAAAGTAATAAAGCAAATCACATGAATTTCTAATATCTTATTAAGTGAGCATATGTCGGCAAATTCTCAAAATATTGTAAAGATTGTACAAGGAGTAACGATTCTGCACCAGTTTATATACATAGACATGACAAAACGCGGCGCAGCTCACGACGTCACAAACGACGTTATGATATCATAGGAAGTAATCTACGTTACCGTTTTGCTTTATAACTTTTCAAAGTATTCCCCTTTAACCCGCACACATTTTTCATGGCGGCGGACCCAGTCTCTAAATGTACTCGCATACAATTCCTAGCTGAATGATGACAGTATGCATTGGGTGACTCCTCTCAACTCGTCCAGATTGTCAAAACGTCTCCCTCTCAACTCTTTCTTTAACCTGGGAAACAAGGCGAAGTCACACGGGGAAAGATCAGGCGAATATGGGAAAATTGGCGATGCCACTTATAAACTAGAGAACGACACACTGAAGGTTTATTTGTCACACTTTCGATCATTGTTTTTGTCTCGCCAGGCGTCTTTCCAAGATTTACACAGAACTGTATAACTGTCCGAAGTTTTGCTGGATCCGTGACGTCCATTTTTGATAAAGCTGTTTTTAGCACCTGTTCTTTAAAGCACGAGCGTAAAATAACCGCAACTTCAAAATGTCTTCTGATACTGACAGAACGATGTCATACACATCAAAACACCGTTATTATAACGTTTCCCGCAATTTCTTTGTTTGTACAGGTTTTAAATGTGTTTAAATGAGATGAAAACGTTTAGATCACAGAGAAAAAGTAAGCTGCGCCGCGATTTTGATACTTTATGTTTTGATGTTGTCATATATAGATAAAAAATGCAATTGGCGTTTTAAAATTTGGTCAATTTATTAAAAAAGCATTGATAAATTATGTCCAAAGAGTTTACCTCGGTAGGACGTCACCTTATGGAGATACACACATTGTCCACGAATTTTTGGATCAACCCTCGTACTACTCCTCTGTATTTTAAAGAATAAAGTGAATTGACTCCACCGCACAGGGTAGTCCAATGCGTATGATACCTTTGTCAAAAAAGGTTTACCTATTTGTTAGGATATGTAAGCGCTACCCTGAATCATGTTACATTTGGTCAAAATGTCGTAAATGACGTCTGCTTACGTTTCCACATGACTGAAATTTGAGAAATATTCAAGCTGTTCTAAGAACAAATCAACTGCACCATGAAAATAAACGAAAATATTACGAGAAGTATATGATCGATCATTGAAATACGCCCAGAAAATAAATCTGACGAATAACGAGTGACACCAAAAATGATGGTTCAGACAATGTTTTATTTGTAACATAGAACATTGTTAAACTTGATATATATTTTACCGTCCCGCAGCTTTACCGAGTGGGTAATCCGGCTATCTTCACACTTCATTCTTATATATGAATATATGAGAATAATTACTATACCGGGACACATATATCAATTACTGGTTCTATTGAGGGCTATGAGCGTAAACCATTTTAAAAACACGTTTCAATAATAGAAACGGGTTATTGAAAGTATTTAAGTATAAATCTATATTTTTATAAGTTATTGTCAAAGATAAATACTATTTATGGCAATAACGTTTTTCTGAAAATGAAATAAAAGTATAATAATAAATGCCCATGCGTCTTGTTAACCGATATTTATTAATGTATCTGTCCTTCCTTTGCGAACTTTTGTATCATTGAAACCATATGTTACAACTTTATTTTATAAATATGTCAAGGTTTGGACAGTGAAAGGTACCTCTCGTGTGGAAACCAAAGTTTACAGCGGGCATCCGGTGACCTTACTGTGTACTTTTCTGGAATATCCCATCATCAAACATATAAAGGTAATACAACAATATCAGAGTTCTTATTTTAACTGCATTATCATCATGAAAATTATATGAGTTTACAGTCTTTGACGGAATAGATCATCTTTATAGGGTTAACGCACGTTTTTTTGTGTTATAACGTCTGCAGAGTCCCGAGGAATGGTTGGTGAGTTCCATGGGACTCTGCAGACTTTATAACACGAAATAAACGTGCGTTGACGCTATCATAACATAAATTTTTAAAAAAAATTCATGATGTATATTTTATTCAAAACACATACATTAAATCCTTGTGCTTGGACGGTATTTATCCAATTCTTCATGTTTTACGTATGCGTTTTTTTCCGCGGCCAACTACTTGGGAAATTCAAATGCTCAGACCGTTCGAAAATTCGAATTTTAATTGATTAAACAAAGCTTATCATTGAAGATTTATTAACTCAAGAAAAAAGACAACCTTAAATGAATGTCCAAGATGAAACATGACACTCAGAAATTTTTAGAATGATTTCAGATTGACGGTGGAAAAAAGATCAGTGACATCATAGTCGTTTTTTTCCAAGCTCACATGTTTATAAAAGAATATTAGGCACTAAACTTTATTCTCTCAAAGAAATATAAATAACATTTATCAATATTAACATCAATAAAACAACATTTTGTCATATTCATTTTGTGTTATCTTGTTCTGTAAGTTAATTTGAGGGTTAAACTGAATGACATTTATTTGTTTACATTGACAACTGTCCGTTTCTTAAGAAGGGCGAAAACCAAGATAAACGGTGATGTCTATACGCCGTATATCCGGCATAGTTACTTGAATGCTGCTCGCCGTTATGCGACTGAGGCCTTCGAATCAATAATTTCAATATAACACTTTGGCCAACAGGCCAAATCGTCACTTTTTGTTTGTTCACTTGGCCCTATAATTATTGCGCATAGGTAAAACCGGGCTATAAGAGCGCGTGACTATGTTAACGCATGGTTTTGGTCCCGTTATAACATGGGCAAAAGAGGGAAAAATAGCCGATTTTATGCTATAATAGAATTTAATATATGAATAACGTTATAACACTTACGTTACAGAATCTGGTTTAGACGTGAAAATACACTGGGACAAACACGAGAAACATTCATTCACCGATAAACAAAGGTATGATAAGAATTCCTGAAGGTCAGACATACTTTGTCTATGCGTCTGTTCATTTCAACATATCCGGAGAAGGTGAAGGAGCTAAATGTAATACATATAAAAGACGGTTTTTTGCGTTACGACTTTGTAGAAAAGTACAAAACTATGAACAAACTCTCTTATATAACTCGAAAAAATTTAGCAAGAATGCTACTGATGTAATATCTAGTGTACATGTAACAGGACTTCTTCATCTTAATAGAAACGACAGCATATATGTCAAAGTTTCGAATGCAAATCAGTTAATTCTGAATTCTAGAGGAAATACATTTGGGGTCTATCCAATTTAATATTCATTAAAGGATAGAATATTACGTAATGAAACTTTTTACTGATGTTGTAGTAACTGGATGTAAACCAACTTTTTCTTTACCTGAATTTTTTAACTAATTGGTTGAAACATGCATTATGACTTGTATATTTATTCTCTATTAGCAGAGTTTAATTTTTGGACAGCCATTTATTTATTCGTACACATTGCACATCAAAAATACACAACCTTCACTTAATTACAGTTAATTTATGTTAAATAATTCAATTATTTCAATTGCAATTCTTAAAAACATATTTCAAATGTTTGTTTTTGTTTACTGAAATTCCTATAGATCACTTCATCAACAATAACTTGTAATATTAACATGTTTAAGCAAAATATTATTTGCGCAACATTTAAATCGAATAGTGCGACTTACTCTCAAAATGTTCTTTTGTTTTTGAATAATCCTGTTTACATCAAGCTGTAAGCATAATGATACATTACAAAACAGGTCCAAGGGTTTTCGTTTAAATTAACAAAATATATAACTATGAAAAAAAAAAATTACAATGCCAAGTATAATATTCCTTCACACTTTTTCAATTACCAGATTGTGGAAGTAAATTTGAATTGATATAGCCCAAAATATACCAGAAAATCGTTCAGAATTCACATTTTAGAACTTCTGTAATTCAGAGGTATTAATTACATAATTAGGGAAGGAGAAGTTTCGGGACCCTGAAATGTTTTCGGAATTTAAAAGTTTTCAAATTTTAGAAGTTGTTATGATGTTTACCTTTAACCCTATCATATAGAAATATACCGATGAAAATAGGCGTTTCTTTCTTTTGGAAGGAAATATACTATCTGTCATGTTTTTTGCTTTAACTCAGACGTCTTCCTTATCACCTAGTATTTACTATTTTCCATTTACTCATTGCAAACGCTGCATACAAACATCGACTTCAGCGAAAAGGTTTTAGTTTTGTTCTCTGAACAAGAACTGTGACATATTTATTGGCGTCGAAGCGCGACAACAATCAGATTTTATGAAAGGACAATTGCAACTTCTCGGGCCTTTAAGTCGGCCATAATAGCCGATCATTCCGATTGGTATGAGGGTGTTTGATTATAAAAAAATTGTCGCGATGCGTATGTACAATGAATAGTGAACTGGAGAATTTCGTCACGATTTTGTGATTGGTGCGGCCAATTTGATTGGTTTTAGGTAGAACCTAGGGGAGTACGGGGTCATGCTCCCCCGGAAATTTTTTTATTCTAGGATGCTCTCAGGGGCATTTTCCCGTATATCTTGCACAGTTTACAGCTTGCCGCTAGTACATTTTATAGTAATATGTCAACGATTTTTTTTTACAGATTTAAGTGCGTCGTAAGTTTTAAGGGTGAAATTTAAGGTTCGCATGACGGACGGACAGTTGTACATATGCAATTGATATTTGGCAAATGAAAAATAAACAATAACTGATGTTATTATAATTCTTTAGATGCATTATTATCTGATGATTATAAATAAACAAAAAAGTACGTGGCTTATTGTTTAGCATAAATCACACAATGGTATAAGCTTAAAGGAATAGGAATGGATGGATTGATGTCTGTCTAATATAAATATTCATCATTTAAAAAGAGGTACCATGACAGTTTTTCTGTTGACATCAACCCTATAAGTGAGAAATTCGTGTTTGAAGACACTATTTTTTTACTTGAGAAATAAGTTCATGGGCGCCGCCATTTTGGCGTTCTGTCATTCTCGCGAGACAGACGAGACCGCGATTGTGACGTGTTACACCCACTTCCGGTATAGGTGTACACGCTGGTACAGCTAAAATATATCTTGATAAAGAACTCATTAATCTTATTGCGTACATTATATTTTATTTATGAAAACATCATATGGAACTGAATTGCTTTAATTAATTAATTGAAGACGCCTCGACATTAATTATCATTTGTCCGATTTTCAAGCTTGCTGATGATCCCACCACATGATTCAAGCAATGACTGCTTAATTTTCAAAGATAAACCATCAATTTAATTTGGGTACTATGAGAAACTTCTTCAATTGACGATATATCTTTTTATTTTGTACTTAATTTTCGCTAGACAAGCTGTCCGAATAGGGTACATCGCCGGTATGAATCTTTTTTTCAGCGTAAAATATCAACTAAATCCAATATGCAGAGATCTGTCGAGGACGTGATTTTCCGCCATTGACGCTAAAAATGAGAATGGCACAGAAAATCGGCAGCCAGACTAATATCGTATGCTAACAAAACTGTCAGTTAGGTTTCTTAGGCACCTAGTCAAAACTGGTACCAACAGCAACAGGTTGCCCATTCCCCTGTAATTACGCATATTCTCGGGTTTATTCAGTTCCCTATAGCTTTTTTCCACGTTATCTACTTACTCAATCCCTTTCCAACACAGATACGCATTTCTACTACCGTAAATTTAATCCAATAAAAAAAACATGAATCTACTTAATATTTAAAATGATTATTGGTAACTGAAAAAAAATGTGTTGCTATTTTATGAAATGCTGTAATTTACAGTATAATTTGAGAGGTGTGGAACTTAATTCCCCCTAAGGTCATTCAGTTCACTGATGAAGCGTAACAAAAAAGATGTCTATTTCGTCATTAGAATATTTGACAAGGGTGATTAACCAATCAGGGCAACATGCATGATCAAAAGGTCTGTCGGCACAGAGGCATACAAGGAGCAATAAAAACCGTCAGTACACAGTGTGACAGGAACATTTGGTGTAAATTAGGAACAATTAAAATGGACAATGCACAGTATATTAGACATAAGTAGTAAGAACCAGCAATTGTGTGAATAAATTATGCAAATTAGATTGAGCATCCAATAAAAATGTTTTGCCTGCAGTTAATATTAGGCTACGATTACGATGCGCAGCATCATACGTTGACAGACATGTTAACAATTTACTTTTCAAAAGAGTTGCTTATATTTTTGAAATGTGTACATCAATTATAACATATGTTCACAACTTTTAATTTAAAAGACAGAATCAAACTGAAAACATTTAATTACATGTACTATTAAGAACACGTTTTAGTAGGATTTTTATAATAATGATAATTATCGCTGTTCAATAAATAACAGCCAATTATTCGTTGGTGCGTTTGTTTATTTAATTGCATTATTTGATTGTGAAACTTTGTTAAATTATAACATGCGTATTTATTAAATCTGTGAAATATTGTTTAATTACATTAAGATGAGACTTTAATGAACATAGCATTGTTTGGAGTAACGGGCATCACTGGCCTGAAGTGCTGCGACCGGTAGACTTTGATTTTTTATTTATTTCTTTATTTCTTTATTTTTTTTTGATATTGTTACGTATTTTGAACCATAAAAAATCTCCCCTACACCTCCTGTGAAAATTAAATTGTCTGGTCAATACTTTATTATATTATTATTTCGCAACGATTCAACTAGATTTATCATAAATCTTAAGATGTGGGGGAAATGACATCACGCGCACCTGTTTTTTACGGCCAATACACAAACATGGCCGCGCCTACTGATTTGTAGAAATCGGTGATTTAGCGATTTAAATTTTGTTTGTCATTCGTTTAATATTCTTATTTGGCGACAGAAAACTTTGCAGATTTATTATTTATAGTATTCTTTTTCTGAAATCAAGTTTTTATTCTAACCTTGTCTTTCCCTTTAATAACAATCGATGACATGATGGAGGAATAGTACATAACGAGTCAACAATAACCACTTCTTGTTCAGCAGTAACTTGTGTTTTGTTAACAATAATCTTACACAACACAGAGTCTCATTTTATGTAAATTTTCCAGAAACACGTAGTTCTCTGGTAGTAATGAACTCATCGGCAATTACACGTAAGTTGAATGGATCTGTCCAGTTAACACCATTAGATTATTCAAACGTACTTGAGACATTGTCGATCTCAGGTATGTCTTAATTCTTCTGAACGGCGAGAATGTCATTTCACTGGTAGCATTAGTAGCAGGCATAACTAGCAAAATCCTTAACAACACAACGACCTCAGAGAACAGTGCTCGTTCTAGCACCGACTGTTCTGACGCAAATTTCAAAACGTCAGGTAGAGTAACAGTACTATTTTCTGATTTGTCAAAATATGAACGTAACAGCTGAAGCTGCGCATCTAAGATGTCTCGGTTAATATCGTTACCACAGAACCAAGTTCTCTAGTAGGCTTGGTCTTCAAAGGTTGTGCGGCCTTTATAAGTAAATTCTCCACGTACGTTTGAAGTACGTGATATCCCGGTTGGTCAAATCTCTCTTTAACACTGGCGGTGGCAAGATTGACACCGACACCGACGCGATCACTCTCACTTTGAAGTTTAATCCATAAAGAATCAAAACTGTCGTCTGATCTCATGTCTATCAAACTATCTAAAGTCCGCTGCGCTAGCCGCTGGCCCTCGGATGCTGACAATGAAACTTGTTGAGGAGATTTGCTTAGGGTGTCCGTCAATGCTAGGATGTCGTGTGCGAGCACTACACCGAAAAACTACTCGAACTTGACTTCGTATGACCCCTACATATATCTGGTCAATTTAGTGTGTCCAGTTGTTTCTTCGCGTCATGTTTGTATATTACCGCGCATTGCATAAGGGGTCAGTTATGTGCCAAATTGCTAATCAGCTATGCGTGTTTTTTTTTTTAAATTCATTTTTGGCCAAAACATTGGCCGGACCATCGACGACGGCCTTGCATTTTCAAATAAAATAATCTTTTTCCGTTAACTAATTGCGCTCTTTGTTTTTTTGTATTAATTCTTTTGTAGTACTCAGTGCGTTATTATGGTATGTTATTGTTGTACATCTATCCGAAAGCTGTAAATAGAAAGATGACCTTAACATTGTGGAGGTCCGAAAATCTTTTTATAGAGGGATGTACTATTCGCCGGTCTCCTATCGGTAATTCCTGGCCTCTCCCGGTCTATTTTGACCGGAATTTACTAGAGACCGGCGAATAGTATCACACGTTTATTTCCGGTCTCTCACGGTTTGGGAGTAAATGTTTGATATCGTTACAGATAAATAAGTTTTTTTCCCAAAATGAATGTTAATCACTTAGTTTGGTTACAATAATTAATAAACACAGATCAACTCTCAAATTAATTTATTATTATTATACATAAACATACAATTCGAAGAAAAAAACAACAACAATAGCATGTTTCATTTTTATTTGTTTTGGTCGTCAGACCAAACAAATAATGGTAGAGAAATTGCAGACCCTGGTGCTGTTAATTGCAAATGCCGAAAGTAGTCCACTATTTTGAAGCGGTTACTTCCCTTCATATTTACATTAACGCCGAAAAATTAAGTGGAGATCACTGCGTAAAGATTGTCAAATGACTGGCGAATTAATTTTCGTAACGAAAAAATAGTTCCCGATTGGTCGAATATTTCTAATATTGTGTTATTCTTATAGATATGCATGCTTATATTCAGCTCCTTGATTATTTACTTCAGTGTTACCGTGAACAAAATACATCGAAATTAATAAGGGTTACAAACTCTTATTAAGAATGATATTGTATTCTTCAGGCTGATATCTCATAACTCCCCGTGGTCGAGGGGTTACACACTCGCTTCTTTAGAAGCGAGAGGTCCGGATTTCAAATCCCAGTTCAGGCTACACATGTTTTTTTTCTTCAGTGTTGCAATTAGGTTTTTGGTGTTAGAATTAGACGTGAAAATACACTGGGACAAACACGAGAAACATTCATTCACCGATAAACAAAGGTATGATAAGAATTCCTGAAGGTCAGACATACTTTGTCTATGCGTCTGTTCATTTCAACATATCCGGAGAAGGTGAAGGAGCTAAATGTAATACATATAAAAGACGGTTTTTTGCGTTACGACTTTGGTAGAAAAGTACAAAACTATGAACAAAACTCTCTTATATAAACTCGAAAAAATTTAGCAAGAATGCTACTGATGTAATATCTAGTGTACATGTAACAGGACTTCTTACATCTTAATAGAAACGACAGCATATATGTCAAAGTTTCGAAATGCAAATCAGTTAATTCTGAATTCTAGAGGAAAATACATTTGGGGTCTATCCAATTTTAATATTCATTTAAAGGATAGAATATATAGTAATGAAACTTTTTACTGATGTTGTAGTAACTGGATGTAAACCAACATTTTCTTTACCTGAATTTTTTAACTAATTGGTTGAAACATGCATTATGACTTGTATGGTGTTATTCTTTATTTAGCAGAGTTTAATTTTTTGGACAGCCATTTATTTATTCGTACACATTGCACATTCAAAAATACACAACCTTCACTTAATTACAGTTAAACTTTATGTTAAATAATTCAATTATTTCAATTGCAATTTTTAAAAAACATATTTCAAATGTTTGTTTTTGTTTACTGAAATTCCTATAGATCACTTCATCAACAATAACTTGTAATATTAACATGTTTAAGCAAAATAATTATTTGCGCAACATTTAAACCGAATAAGTGCGACGTACTCTCAAAATGTTCTTTTTTTTTTGATAATCCTGTTTATATCAAGCTGTAAGCATAATGATACATTGCAAAACAGGTCCCAAGGGTTCTCGTTTAAATTAACAAAATATATAACTATGAAAAAATCACTCACATTATAATTAAAATTTTTACAATGTCAAGTATAATATTCCTTCACACTTTTTTTCAATTACCCGGATTGTGGAAGTAAATTTTTAAATTGATATAGCCCAAAATATACCAGGAAATCGTTCGGAATTCAGAATTTAGAACTTCCGTAATTCAGAGGTATTAATTACATAAAAAGGGAAGGAGAAGTTTCGGGACCCTGAAATGTTTTCGGAATTCAAAAAGTTTATTACAGAATTTTAGAAGTTGTTACACTGTACATGATGTTTACCTTTAACCCTATCATATAGAAATATACCACATGTATAAAAGTAATTTTCTTTCGGATGAAAATAGGCGATTCTTTCTTTTGGAAGGAAATATACTATTTGTCAGTTTTTTTTGCTTTAGCTCAGACGTTTTCCTAATCACGTAGTATTTACTATTTTTCCATTTACTTGTTAAAAACGCTACATACAAACAGAGACTTCAGCGAAATGGTTTTATAGCATTGCTAGACCTGTTCTCTGAAGCCAATCCCGTATCGAAAGTCAACAAGCACTGTGACATATTTATTGGCGTCCGCGCCGAAGCGCGACGCCCCTTATGGAATGAGAAAGGACAATTGCAACTTCTCGGGCTTTGAGTCGGTCATAATAGCCGATCATTCCGATTGGTATGAGGGTGTTTGATTATAAACATAAAGAAATGTCGCGATATGTACAATGAATAGCGAACTGGAGAATTTCGCAATGCAAACATTTTCAAATAAAATAATCTTTTCTGTCAACTAATTGCACTCTGGGATTTTTTTTATTAATTCTTTTGTAGTACACAGTGGGTTATTATGGTATGTTATTATATTACATCTATCCGAAAGCTGTAAATAGAAAGATGACCTTTACATTGTGAAAGTCCTAAAATCTTTTTTATAGAGGGATGTACTATTCGCCGGTCTCCTATCGGTAATTCCCGGTCTTTCCGGTCTATTTTGACCGGAATTTACTAGAGACCGGCGAATAGTATCACACGTTTATTGTCCGGTCTCTCCCGGTTTTGGAGTAAATGTTTGATATCGTTACAGATAAATAAGTTTTTTCCCAAAATGAATGTTTGTCACTTAGTTTGGTTACAATAATAAGTAAACAGAGATCAACTCTCAAATTTATTTTTTATTATTATACATAAACATACAATTCGAAAAAAAGCCAACAACAACAATAGCATGTTCATTTTATTTATATGAGATAAAAACAATACATATGTACAATTATTGAGTAAAAGGGACATTTTTATGGTATTTATATGTCACCATCAACTTTGAAACATTTTATTTAATTTGTTATTCGTGTTTAGTAAAGATGCTGAGGAATTATTCTAAGTTACAAATGAGATTTTATGAAAAATACAAATGTACCTGTACATGGTTTAGGAATAAACAATATAATATATTTAAAGAATAACAAAAATTTACTGACACTTTCTAGTTAAATTTTGACTTTTAAAATTTATTTTACAACGTTAATAGAAAAGTAGTAAACGTAAAACCCCAGTATTAAAATAGCACATAAAATACAAAAAAGAAAAAGAAAACAATATTCATAAAATATGAAAAAAAATATTAAAATAGATATTACAATTATTGTATAATAAAACAATTAACATGATCAACATGGTAATGTAACCAGTGTCATATTTTTACCAAGTGTGAACAGATACCTTAAGATACAGATACCTTCGCTAATAGCGATAACATAATGAAGGACAATACACAAGTGTGGTGTTGATCATGCGTTACACAAATGGATTATAAATTATTGTATATATCCGTTGATATTAATAATCACGATATAACATTTATGACCATAAAAAATAACAATTATAATATTATACTATATATGTATTTTATTATTTCCAAAATGTAGAAGGACTATTGGTTTTGTTTGATCTAAAGAAAATACCACATGAACTCTAAATTCTATCAAATCACCAATATTAATGATAATATAAAAAAAGCCCCTATATAGTACAAATAAACTTATACCATATGTGGAGTATATTTTGAATATCATTGACCTGTATAGTTAGGATATTATCGTTAATATTGATAAAATTTCAAAGTCCTGTGGAAAAAACAAGTAATATTCTAATCTCTAGCATGTCTATCAAAGTTCATGATGAACAATTTCTTTCGTCCGCTCATTCATAAGTGATATACAATTTTGGTAAAAACCAAGTAACCATTGAAAAGTTTATGAGAATATCTTGTCATCATATGTTCATCTTCCTATGCTGCATTTCTTGCTTGGACGCCCTTTGATGCTTTGCATCAATGCTTTTCTTGTGTCATGCTGTAATTCAATAAATTTGCATTATCTGGACAAAAGCTATTTCAATACAGGTAGTTAGATATAATTATGTTGTACTCTTCTATCTATATTTTTTAACAAAGAAGGCTAGATTGATGAAATAATGCCTCAAAGTTTATCAGTGCGTTTACATTTTATAAAATTCGCCGCCATTGCTGCCCTAATCATCACGTGACTTGCTAGAATTTAGGTTCGGATACCTTTGCATGACCTGTGCCATTTTTGTATTTTCTCATCGCAGATTAGGAAATTCAATGCCGACATTCAATCTCTGGCACAGAATTTAACGACAAACCTAACAACAAGTAGTTCTCAAAACAGCTTAAAACTAGCTATGTAAAAGAAAGAAATAATTTTATTTTGTTACAAGTATCCAACAAATAACAACGCATAGTAGCGTTGGCTTATAGAATTGTCAACAAATGCACAATCACAAAATACGCGGATGAATATCATTTTAATCAATGAAAATGCTATTTTTAGCGATGTCGATACCGAATATTCAGAGCGTAGTACACAAATAAATATGACTGTCGAAAAGTGGAATATATACATGTCGGACTGTTTTGGCGAGATTTTCGCTAAATTATTTACATCAGTGTTAAACAACAGGTTTATCGTGAACAAAATACCTCGAAATTAAATAAGGATTACAAACTCGAAATGGAAATTCTTAATTTAGAATTATGTGATTATATTCAAGCTTTCTTCATAATACTTCCTTGTAGTGCTAGTTTAAGGTGTGAGAGGTCTGGAGTTCAAATCCCAGTCGAGGCAACTTATTTTTTTTTAAATTTTATTTTAAGGGTATTTTTAAGGAAATAGCAACGATATGCAAGGATAAAGTGTGGCTGTCATAAAAAATGAACATCATGTATCAAAATGTTATAGTAAAAAATCTAAACGCAGTCGTTGCATCTCGGTGCCCTGTAAACTTATACAGGAAAACACATGGCTTTGCAATTATGAATAACGGTGTATTTATTCAAATACAGACGTTGTACCAAAAACATGTTGGATTCATGCTGTTTTGAGTGATGATTCATGAATTTATTTTATTTAAAATTATACAGTACTAAAACAGTGTATTGTTCGTTACTAAAATAGATGCTAGAATTCCCAAAAGTTAAAGTCCCGCGAGATTTCATTTGAAAGCAGACTCCATATTGGTAAAAAATCTCCACATATTTCCCTATTAAATAGTTGAGTACAGGATGTAATTGAAGTTTCATTTAAGAAAAAATAAACATGAATTGATAAAAAAACTGATTTATCAAAGGTATTTTTTATTTGACCCAAATTTGATTATTAAGGGTGATTTTAATAGGTTTTTATGTACTGCACACATACTATAAAATTCTGGTAGCCTTTGCAAATATGGTTGACCAAACTTTACTGTCTCAACGTCAAAATAAAAGCGACATAAAAAGTTATGGAAGCCAGAACAAACACAAACGAAGCCTCCTCTGTATAGCACAGAGTGTTAAAATGTTCAAATACCTCCTGATGATAATGTTGTATCAAAACGAATGTCCAAATAGCTTCTTAATATCGTTCCATACCGCCCTTCGAAAGTTTATCATCCGTGAAAAATACAGAAAAGGGTTAAGCAATGAATTAAAAGTGCAAAATCTTGAAAATATTTCAGTAGTTTCTGCTGTTACATTTATATTATACTTTATATCGAGTGGGATAAAAATCAAAGATGGTAAAAATGTGATATTCAAAGCTAAAACTATGTATATAAATGTCTTTGTAGCATAATGAAATTCTTGC